TTGGGCTTGTGCTGAAGACTTGGTGTTGACGACATTCCCATCTTCCCCCTCCTCTTCGTCTATCCCCTTCCTCCTCGTCTGTGTATGGTATGGGCTGGCGCTGTCTTCCTGTGTGAAGCGCCAGACCCATTCACACTATGTAACGATGATGATGTATGTTCAGGGCTGCATTACAACATTGATTGTTCGGATCACTGGTATCTAAGTCTTCCGCTGTGTTATCTTGTACTTTGTATTGAAAGGTCAAATCTTGTTCTGGTCTGCACGTTACAGTATGCAACATCAGGCCTCCAACGAGGGAACATGCGGGGGCTGCACCCGACCTGCAGGTGGGCGATACCGGCCAGGGGCCAGCCAGTAGCATCAGGGACCATTCCAACGGACCAATCCCTGTGCCTGCCCTCCAGTCCCCTCCCCCTACAAACATCAGCAGTCTCTGCGGAATGCCGCTCGGGGGGTCCAACGGACTATCTCTAGGTGGCAGGCGCCAAGCTTGCCCAGGAAGGTACATGCCGTCAATGGGGATTGAACCCAAGACCCCCTGAATGCCGCTTCCGTGCCTTACCAACTGAGATAGGCCGCTGGATTAAGTCTTCAATTAAGTGTATTGGGGCTTATTTGAGAATCTCGTAAAAAAAACTTAAAAATAAATTATTGCTATCTAGTTAACAGTGCAAGGAATATGAGCGAGAGTGATAGACAGAAATCCAGATTGCAATATCTCGAAGTAGCTCAGATAGTCATGTACCAGGCAGGAAGCACAATGCACCAAGATACCATCCAAATAAGAGCAATGCAATGAACTCGTATGTCAATGTTGACGCTCTCTGGTCTCACCAACACAGTATCCAATGTTACTCCTACTGACTGGCGCCCTGTGCCCACCCTACTCTACTCAGCCTACTGACTGGCGCCCAGGGCCCAGCCTACTCTACTCAGTCTATGTATACCTATGCACATTCTTGCAACCAGATCACATCGAAGTTGACGACCAATGTACGTGACATCATCACCAATGCCGACCGCCAGCATACACCAGGTACGTTCTCTCTCCCTCCCCGCATCACACCCTGTCTCCCCTCTGCATGTGCCTCCTACCCGAAGGCCACCATCGCCATCACCTGCTACCTCACGCTCGGCCCGGCTATGGCCGCCATGCGCCTGCTGCCACCGCAGCGGCCTCTCACCTCTTGCGCCCGTGTGTGCCCTGGTCTGCCTGCTGAGCACAGCATCACATGGCATAGCAGTAGCGTGGCCGCATTGCCTGCGCAGGCCAGAATACCCCTACCTGGGCAGGGCACTTTCCTTTATGGAAAGTGGGGCCCTGTTTCTGGCTGCGTGGACCTGGCTGGGCCGGTTTCCAGTAGCTTCCAGTCGGGCCCCAGTGTCTGTGCCCAGGCCTCTCCTTGCTGTTACAGGCCCGGGCCCTTTGCAGTTGGGCACAGTCCAGGCTTCCCTCCAGGCTCCAAGTGTTTGCCCCATTCTCGTTGGCTCGTGTGACCACAATGCTGCATTCTCATTGGCCCGTGGCCTCTGCGTGATGTGCCGGCCTCCCACTGCGTGTGCCCAGGGCGCAACTACCTGAGCCCTGGGCTCAACTGTAGGTCGCAGCTGCTTCTTCTCGAAAGAGCCAGGAGAGGCTCACGTTGCTGCGTAACCAACCGGCGTGCAGCAACTGGCTGATACCCCACTAACGAAAAATGTCGAAAATAGGCCTCACGCGGATGTACAGGCCCGCCTTCACTTAGGGCGGGCATGAGGCTTCCTGGGGCCCGCAGCCCAGAACATTTGCATGCCCGAGAAGGGCCTAGCGAGGGCTCATTCCTCGGAATAGTTGTTATTATTACTTATTAATGCATATTTCAATTCCTTTCCAGTGTTACATAAATCCTAAGTCTCCCATTAAGTGTGTTGGGGCATATTATGCAATAACCCATGCCATATGTCTCGTGGAAAGACTGAAGGCCAACTCGGCTGCCCTCAGCCCAGGCCGAAACGGGGGGAAAAAGGACCCCACACGAGGACTCAGGGCCTGGACGTGTGACAGTTGACTTTGGTCAACTGTCGTGATCCCAACAGTCAAAGTCCAAAGGTACCTAGCCCAGGCCGCTGGTCAAGCACACACACTTGTTTGTATGCAGGTACCCAGACAGCATCAGGTCCAAGGGAGAAGTCTGCTACTGTACAATCCGGGCCCTCAGCTGTGAGTCAATCTGAACGACTGTGGGAAAAGCACCCGAGGCCAGACAGCCTCGATAACTGCTATTTAAGGCTGGCCTCGAGTGAGTCAAGCATTCAGTCTTGCTATGCTGCTTTGACGCTGGCTCGACTTTGATTAGACGCTGGTATTATGCTGGCTTGACGCTGGCTAGACGCTGGCTGTGCACTGGCGATGCGGACGACGGCACGAGGTGGAGACAGCATGCTGGTGCTTTCTGTATTGTGCGGCAGGCTTGCTGAGGTGGCATGCCGATGAGGCGCTACCTCTGGTCTATATTGCATGCTGATGAGGCGCTACCTCTGGTCTACATTGCATGCTGATGCAGCGCTGCCTCTGGTCTACATTGCATGCTGATGTGGCGCTGCCTCTGGTCTACATTGCATGATGATGTGGCGCTGCCTCTGGTCTGCATGGCATGCTGATGTGGCGCTGCCACTGGTCTTCATTGATGATGTGACATATGCCACCTGTCTCGACTGCTGACGTGGCATTGTCCACGCTGTCTACATGAGGTGACTGGTTGCGAGGAGGAGGAAGATTGGGATCTGTGGAGGAAGGAGATTGGGTATTCACCTGAGGTTGACGTCGTCACTGGAAATCGCTATGTCTTCATGGTCTTCACGAGATAGAGTGCCACGTGGCACTATTGTATGTGATCAGGATTACACTTATTATCATTATTGACGTGGAGAGGGAAGAAGCCCGGAGAAGGAGAGGGGTCTGCAGAGCTTACTATTGTGTGAACTTTCATTTTCTCCCCTGTCTGTTCCCCTTCCACTCTCTTCTTTAATGGTAATGAGTTACCGTTTGAGATATCACTTCACTATTTGGAGACTTTGTTGCAGATAATGAGACTACTGATGTTCGACGACTTCTGAGTATCTGTCAGACCGGGTTCATTACAATTAGAGAATCCTGGGAAAAAAAAAAAAAAAACTTACTATGTTGTAAATTGTATTTTTTTTTTTTGCAGGAAGCTGTCTGTGACATTCTGGAGGAAACAGGTCAGAAAGCTCTTCATATGTCAATTTGCAGGGAAGCATGCGAGCAATCTCCGAAGGCAACTTGGGCATGGCTTCGACTGGGCATGCTGCAGGTTTGGATCTGTCATCCCCACTCCATCGGCGTAATTGTGGTCATATACGTAGTACATACAGATGACCGTAATGGCCTTCATTCCACAGCCGGCAAGTATATCAGAGGGGGACACATCATGAGGGGAAAGAACCCGGAAAAAAAAAACGGATGCTCAGTAAATCCGGTTGTTGGTGTTGAAATAATGGAAGTTATTAATGTTCATTATACTTGAATAATCTCTTAGTACTGAATCCTCCTAATCGTGAGCGCATAATCCAGTACTCGCACTTTTTTTATTTGTGTGGGTACTCTACTAGTACAATTTGATTGTCGTTCACTCGTGGAAGGAAGGTGCTGTATGTGTTTTGTTAACTTTAATACCATTTATATTTTTTATAATCCTTATAAAAGCAAACCCTGGCCTTGCATGATGCCCCCTGCGGGCCCAGGGAAATTCAGGAAGGCGCGATACCTGAGGACCGAACTGCGCATGGGAAAGCGTGCCCCATTTTTTGGGGGAGTGTCCGCGGGACTCCAGCCGTCGCAGGAGCTGTGCTGAGGGTTCCTCTTGTGAACTCCCTGGGCGGGTTTTGGGGGTTGACTGTTCGTGTGCTGCTGGCCTGACGACAGACGGCGCAAAGGCCTGCGGTTTGGAAAAATCCCCGCCAGTGCAACTGCACCAATCTTCCAGAAGTGAAATCCTGGTCCCAGAATCTGAAGACAAAACTCTCGGGCGCAGGGTTACCTGACCGAAAGTTCGGGGGCCCCGGGGCTGGCCCCCGAACGTTCGGGCGTTCGGGGTCCCGTTCGGGGGCCGAACACCTCCAGGTTCGGCCCCCGCCAAAAAAAAATTATGGGCCTAAAATAAGTTTTTTTCTGATTTTTTTTTTTGTGAGTTCTCTATGATGTAAACTACATGCCTATAAATTTTGAAGCCATTCTGATAAGCCAAAAAAACATTAAAAATCGTCAAAGATGGGGGTGTCGAAACGTGCTCGCCCACTCACTATTTTGTTTTTTTCATTCTTTTT